CAATGCTAGATTGCTTGAGACCGAGCACGGGTAGCTACTGAATTTGGATTTTAAACAAAGTTGCCAATGGGTTTGGCGTATGAGCGAAGTGCATCTTGCAATGCCAGGTTGCTTGAGATCGAGCACGAGTATAGCTACTGAATTTTGCTTTTTAAACAAAGTTGTCCGGCAATGTGTTTGGCGTATGAGAGAAGTGCATCTCGTAATGCTATATTGCTTGAGACCAAGCAGGGGTAGGCCTGGTCGCTACTGAAATTGGATTTTAAACGAAGTTGCCAATGGGTTTGGCGTAAGGGAGACGTGCATCTCGCAATGCTAGATTGCTTGAGACCGAGCACGAAGAGCTACTGAATTTGGATTTTAAACAAAGTTGCCAATGGGTGTGGCGTATGAGAGAAGTGCATCTCGTAATGCTAGATTGCTTGAGACAGAGCACGAGTAGCTACTGAATTTGGATTTTAAACTAAGTTCCCAATGGGTTTGGCGTATGAAAGACGTGCATCTCGCAATGCTAGTTTGCTTGAGACCGAGCACGAGTAGATAATGAATTTGGATGTTAAATAAAGTTGCCAATGTGTTTGGCGTATGAGAGAAGTGCATTTCGCCATGTTAGCTTGCTTGAGACCGAGCACGGGTAGCTACTGAATTTGGATGTTAACTATACAGTTGCCAATGGCTTTGGTGTTTGAGAGAAGTGCATCTCGCAATGCGCGATTGCTTGAGACCGAGCGTAGCTACTGAATTTGGATTTTATACAAAGTTGCCACTGTGTTTGGCGTCTGAGCGAAGTGCATCTCGCAATGCTAGATTGCTTGAGACCGAGCACGGGTAGCTCCTGAATTTGGATTTTACATAAAGTTGCCAATGTGTTTGGTGTATGAGAAAAGTGCATCTGGCCGTGCCAGATGGCTTGAGACTGAGCACGAGTAGCTACTGAATTTGGATTTTCAACAAAGTTGCCCATGTGTTTGGTGTATGAGAAAAGTGCATCTCGCAATGCCAGATCGCTTGAGCCCGAGCATGAGTGGCTACTGAATTTGGATTTTAAACAAAGTTGCCAATGTGTTTGGCGTATCAGGGACGTGCATCTCGCAATGCCAGATGGCTTGAGACCGAGCACGAGTAGCTACTGAATTTGGATTTTAAACAAAGTTGCCAATGTGTTTGGTGTATGAGAAAAGTGCATCTCGTAATGCCAGATGGCATGAGACCGAGCACGAGTAGTTATTGAATTTGGATTTTAAACAAAGTTGCCACTGTGTTTGGCGTCTGAGAGACGTGCATCTCGCAATTACATCATTGCTGGTGACCGAGCACGATTAGCTACTGAATTTGGATTTTAGAACAACTTTGCCAATGTGTTTGACGTATGAGAGAGGTGCATTTCGCAATGCATGATTGCTTGCGACCAAACAAAATTCGTTACTGCATTTGGATTTAAGGCACAGTGGCCAATGTGTTTGGCGCATGAGCAATGTGCATCTTCCAAAGCATGTTTGCTTGAAACCCAGCACGATTAGCTCAGTGAATTTGGATTTACGGCAAAGTGGGTGATGTGTTTGGCGTATCAGAGCAGTGCATCCCGAAATTGTATGATTGCTTGTGACCGAGCACGCGTAGCTATTGCATTTCGATTTAAGGCACAGTGGTCAATGAATTTGGCGTATGAGAGACGTGCATGTAGCAATGCATGATTGCTTGAGACCGAGCACGAATAGCTACTGACTTTGGATTTTACACGTTGCCAATGTGTTTGGCGTATACAAGAAGTTCATCTCATGCACAATTGCACGCTTGCTGGCGACCGAAAACGGGTAGCTACTGAATTTGGATTTTAAAACAAAGTTGTTCATATGTTTTGGCGTATGAGCGAGGTGCATGTCGCAATTACATGATTGCTTGAGACCGAGCACAAGTAGCTACTGAATTTGGATTTTACATAAATTGGCCAATGTGTTTGGCGTATGAGAGACGTGCATCTCGCAATTACATGATTGCTGGCGCAGGAGCACGAGTAGCTACTGAATTTGGAGTTTAAAACAACTTTGCCAATGCGGTTGGCGTATGAGAGGGGTGCATCTCGCAATGCATGATTGCTTGCGACCGAGCACGACTAGCTACTGAATTTGGATTTACGGCACAGTGGCCAATGTGTTTGGCGTATGAGCTATGTGCGTCTTGCAATGCATGTTTGCTTCAAACCGAGCACGATTAGCTCAATGACTTTGGATTTAAGGCAAAATGGCCAATGTGTTTGGCGTATAAGAGAAGTGCATCTCGCACTTGTATGATTGCTTGTGACCGAGCTTGAGTAGTTATTGACTTGGGATTCAAAGGACAGGCTCGTGTGTTTCGCGTAGGCAATGATTGCATCCAACAATACATGATTGCTTGAGTGACCGAGCACGATTAGCTACTGCATTTGGATTTAAGGTATAGTGGTCAATGTGTTTGGTTTGTCAGAGCAGTGCATCTCGCAATTGCATGAGTGCTGGAGACCGAGCACGAGTAGCTACTGAATTTGGATTTTAAAACAAAGTTTCCGATGTGTTTGGCGTATGAGAGAGGTGCATTTCGCAATGCATGATTACTTGCGACCGAGCACGATTCGTTACTGAATTTGGTTTTAAGGTACCGTAACCGATGTGTTTGGCGTATCAGCAATGTGCATCTTCCAATGCAGGGTGCTTCAAACCCAGCATGATTAGCTCAGTGCATTTGGATTTAAGGCAATGTAGCCAATGACAATGTGTTTGGCGTATACGAAAAGTGCATCTCGCAATTGTATGATTGCTTGTTACCGAGCACGAGTAGCTACTGAATTTGGCTTTAAGGCAAAGTGGCCAATGAGTTTGGCGTATGGGCGAAGGGCATCTCGCAATTGTATGATTGCTTGTGACCGAGTAAGAGTCGCTTCTGACTTAGGATTGGAAAAAGCAGGTTTAGGGTTTCGCGAATGAGAGGCTTGCATTTTACAATACATGATTGCTTGGGACGAACCATGGCAGCCATTGAATTGGAATTTGGAAATCATTTGTCAATGAGTTTAGTGCATGCGCGGGAGCGGCGTCTCGCAGTTACGGAATTTGTTTAGTGGTCAGTTGCTCATATGTTTGGGCAAGCAGAGACATGCATCTCCCAATAGACCCAATCCATGATTGCTTGGGATTGAGCACGAACATTGCAAATGCAAGAGGTGCATCTCGCAATACATGATTGCTTGAGACCGAGCGCACGCGCTTACTGCATTTGGATTGGACAGACAAGGGCCAATGTTTTGGCGATTCAGAACAGTATACCTTCCTTGCCATATGCGAATCACCCAATTCTTGGGCAATATATGTTTTTCGAGTGTGTATGAAATTACTGATCTTGTGTTTGCGCTCGTTTGCTGGTTTTCGTTTGCATTTCTTGGGTTCTTTTTTCTTTCTTGGCTGGTGGGGGTCAACTTTCCCAGGGCTATCTAAAGCTCTTTGTGTTTGACTCTAGCAGTTGTGCCGGGACTGTTGCCCTTTTCTGGTCCTTCCGGGGGGTGCTTTGGGGATTTACTTCTCTATTCATCTTTTCTCTCGCCACTCGCTACACTTTGTTCCGTTAGCAGCTTCTGAGCGTCTTAAGAAGCGAGTCATTGGGTGGAAGTTTCTCCCGGGGACCAGACCTGTGGCATCAGTTCCGGGTTATTCTCTGCGTTCATTGTCGCTTGACCATGCTAGTCCACCTATCGCTTTTCACTTGCATTTTTTTTCATACTGTCCATTGCCGGTTTGTTTGCTTAATAGATTATAGTTTGGTTTGTGTGTGTGGCACATGCGAATCGGCGGGGTTGTAGGGTATTTGAGCAGGGGGGTTTGGTATATGAGAATGGCGGCTTGGGTATATGAGAATGGGAGTTTGGGTATATGAGAATGGGGGTTTGGTATATGAGAATGGGGGTTTGGTATATGAGAATGGGGGTTTGGTATATGAGAATGGGGGTTTGGCTATATGGGGGAGATGCAGTGTTGGGAGCGAGTAGTAACTAAACTGCGGAGGAATTCATTTCCGTGCTTCATTTGGAAACAATGGACCTTCCTTTTCCCCAATGCTTAATCAGTGATCCGTGGCGGAATGGCCATTTGGATATTTTACTATTCAAATTGGCCAAACACGCCGCGGAAGCTGATTAACTAATGGAATTTGAGTAATTAACGTTGTTTTATGAATAAATAATGATGTACAATGCATAAAACCCTAGTTTACAGGTTGTAACTGCTCTTTCTGTGCTGATCGCCAAGACAGAGAAAGTGCAAGATAAAGAAATTAGGACCGGAAAAGGGGGCGGGGGGGGGCGAGAAGGAGGGGGCTGCGTCAGGGTGTTGTTTACTCTTGTGTGTTGTAAAAACGCCCACCCTCCCACCCTTCTGTTTCCCATCCTTGTGGCTTTCTGCTGCGGATCCATTTCCGTGTTTCATTTGGAAACAATGGACCTTCCTTTTCCCCAATGCTTAATCAGTGATCCGTGGCGGAATGGCCATTTGGATATTTTACTATCCATGTTTCATTCAGCTTATAAAGCCTTTAAAAATAATCAGAAAATTTCCCCAGTTAGTGTTAAATTGCATATAATTTGTGGTCTATACAATATGAATGGTTGATGCTTACAAGTCAAAAAAAGTATACAATCATACGTTTGTTTTATTTCTCGTAGCGACAAATAAATACATATTAATATGAAAATATCACACAAATGAAATATTGATTGTTGGTCTTACATACCATACTGCCTGCCTTTTCTTTAATCTTTTAAGTCTCAACCCAGCTACAAATTTTCCTCAAGGTGTTTATGGTTCAACTTTGTAAGTGTATTAAAGTTGGCAAAAGCTTTTCGATATTAAGAAACACACTCGTTTATAAGCCCGAGCAGGGCGCTATAAAACACAGGTGTGGAAATGGCAACGACGCCCCTGATCTATGTGTGATTCGCGGACCCCCCCCCCCTAGGTTTTTGTCTCAAATTCAAAATGGCGGACAAGTTAGGCGGGAATTTGTTTTTGGACGAAGAAAACGTTGTTTCTACTGAACCAAGCTTAGATATTCCTTCACATTTTGACTGGATTTTTTCGCAAAATGGTCAAGCTTTCTTTCTTCAAGTTCTGAAGACTGTTGGTGTGCCAGAGAGTGAGACAATCGAGTCGAATGCCGCCAGGGTAATGTAGAAGTACGAAGAAAACATTAAAGTTGGAACTGACTTGTTGAAGCAGATGTCAACAAGTTTTTTGGTGTGTTATCAAAACATTGAACAAATAAAATGCGCAAATCAAAAGATGATGAAGCTGGAGAAAAGTTTTTTTGAACTTTTTGATAAGTTTTAAATTTAAAGTGGTCTTGCTTAGTGTGGTTTGCAAATATCTGATGGGACAAATATTCTTTAAACCACGTTCTACAACACTTTTGGAGTTAGTTAGTTTTACATGGATCGCATGAACTGAGTGAACAAGGTGAAAATTCCAATTATGTCCCTAATGCTAGCTCCACTGAAGCTGAGGATATTGAAGTTCAGTCTGTGAGAGAGCATGCTGGTTGGGTTTTTAAGCGGGTCAGAGAAGAGTTTAATTGTGGACCTCAAATATACAAAATTCCGGTATCAAAAACCGATAATAGATACAGATATAGCTAAAGTAAAGGAATTTCTGACCAATGCTTTTGCAACGCCATCATCACAAGCACCTGGAATTCTCAAGAACTGACTTCTATCTTACAATCACTGGGCTTGCCTGGGTTTTATGGAAAAGGGAAGCAAAGACAAATTGGTGTTGGTGAAACATAATATTGATCGAAAACAGTGGAATATTATATTGTCTTTCCTGACAAGGTAAGCCCTTTTATTAGTGAGTGCAGGGTTAACTCTTTCTCGACATGCGACATTTTTCACGGCAAGCAACATTTTTATTCAACTGTTTTATAACGTAAATATTTCAGCGCGTATTCACCCCCCTTAAAAACAAAGAACATCATTGAAATCCTGCCAAAATAAGCTGTTCATCGGGGGGGGGGGGCCATCGAAACAAATACACAAACTGAAACAATCATATATTTACTCACCACTTGGCCAAACATTCTGTATTTTCATATGGAGAAAAAGTTGAATATTTTCTAAACTTTTCAGAATTCGCCACAAGTTAATATTAGTGAAATATTCCTTGTATTCTCAAGCGCTTTTATGTAGAAAGTTTCGTTTGAATACGGCGAGCAGAAATGTTTATTTGGAATTTTTAGTATATCTGGTTTCATCGGGTTTTTACTCGCACACACATGCTTAGCCCTTAGCCCAGTGCACGTGAAAATCATGCTGCAGATGTAATTTGACCTTTAGAATCAATTTCCGATGTTTTCCGAGTGCTAGGATGTAAACACGCGATGTTTTGGGCGATCTAAAGTGTATTTCCGGTTAAAAATATCCCGCTGATTTCATTAGTCTCACAACAGATTGAAATACCGAAATAAAAGAAGAAAAACTAAGGCTACAAGCTTGAAAATAACACTTTCAATAGTGTTTTGGATTCTGTTTCGAATAAGACTATAGCGAAAACGATATCTCAAAAGGGGCCGGAGTTATGTTCGGCAAAAGGTATGGATAGTTTACATTGTTCGAGACAATTGATTAATATAATGAAATATGACACTGCTTGACCTGAGAAAATGTCATAAATAGTTATACAACTTTACTTGACTAAAACTATTGATAGGGTATTAGGAGATATTGTTTCACTGAATCGAATGGTGGTATTTTGATCTACATAGCGTGCACCAAACCGGAGATATGAATCGGCAAAGTGTCCTAGTACGTGCACATACTACGTTTATAGGGGCCTGCTTTTAAAGAGTTAACCAGGTGGCCATCCAACTGTCCTAAGGACGGCCACTTCTGAATTTGGTTGGCTAAGTTTTAATGGGTGGCCATGTACGGCCTAAGGGGGTATTTTCTCTAAATAGCAACCTACAAGCTTTGTAATATTTCTTGAATATGATGCTTGTGATGTTATTCTGAGTGTATATCCACACCGGGCAAGCTTGAAAAACATGCCTGACCACGGTGGGAAGTAGATTCTGTTCCGAAATATCACATACTTGAACCGATCTGACCGCATAGCTCAGTTGCAGAGCATTGGGCTAGTATTCCACAGGTCGTAGGTTCGATTCCCACCATGGTCAGGCATATTTTTCAAGCTTGCCCGGTGTGGATATACACTCAGAGTAACATCACAAGCATCATATTCGCCTGAGTACAGTCACCAACACAGAAAAATCATTCCTTGAATACTTTGCGCCATATTTTTGTAAAACGCGCCATATTTTTGTAACCATTTTGATGATTCTTGCATGAAGTACCAAGGAGAATAATGTGAAACATACACTTACGGTAGTGATCATACCATACGTGTGTGCTTTTACTAATTTAATGATGGAAATGTGCATCTAAAAGTAAAATGGTTCAATGAATAAAACACCACAATTCCTCAACAACAGAAAATTGCGACCACATTGCCCACAACAAAATTATTTTGGACGGCCACTTTTGAAATCCTGGCGCCATAGCACCCTGTGAGTGTGCTGTAACTATATAGCAACCAGTTAAACAAATAATATATTGTTGTACCAGTACATTAAATTGAAAAATTTTATAAAGATGAGAATGGAGATTTGACATTGTATCTTGTTTTTAGCTACATGGAAAGCCAAATAAAAAGTGATGTCCATTATGAAAGATGGATAAAGAAAGATAGGAATACTATATATAAGTTAAAAGTAGGAGTTACTATCGCAAGGAAAGTGCTGCCATTTGGCGACATGAACTGAATGCAAAAGAGTAACTTCTAGACGATTCTCTAAAGGGAAGTTTACTTTTGACCCAATGCCCTCATTTCCAGATTTTATCATTGGTAAGTAGCAGGCCTGAACATAACATTATATCCCCTATATTCCCGGCACAAATTTGTTTCTCATTCATCATTTTATGATTTAAAGACCAATCACAAACTTATTATTAAACTGTGTGCACGGAACACAAGTGAAATAATCAACATGAAAATGAGGCCATTGATTGATTGGGTCAAAAGTGGATAAACGGCATACCCATTAGCTGGTAATGCACCCTACTTTAGTATTAACTTGTGTAACCCCAGACAAATTTACACTCTGTAACGCCCGATGATTTTACTTGTCAGTGTTAGAGTACTGTCAGTATTAAAATGGGGTTGACAAACGTATCTGCCAATGTCTCTTATTAGCCCCCATTGGCTGGCAATGCAACCAACTTTAGTATTTTACTGTGATACGGTCTATCAACGCCGGACAACTCTACTCTTGAGTGCCAGTAAACAGGTTAATTTGTCATCTCGCCCCAACAACGCCCCCTAGAAATTTTTTTGGGCTCCCTTTACTTTTTTGGGTGAAATATTCCCGCGCAAAGGGCAAGATATTTGGGGTTTTTTTTACAAAATACCGAAATTTGGTATGAAAAATTGAGGTAAAGTTGCTGGAAAGCAATTACAATGTACTTGTACTTGTAATTTTTTCCCTAGAAAGTTGTCGACCTGGGGGTGGAGGGGTGAGGTTGTTGTGAGAAAAAAATTTTTTCCCGAAAAAAATTTGATATAGGGCCCCTAAAAAAACATTTGCCCCGGCCTCCGCCAAGCTCTCGGCCGGCGGCCCTGCAACCAAATTTAAAATTAACGATTTTTATTGTTTCTAATTGTAGATCTCAGCGAACATCCCCCTCCCCCCTTTAAAACAAAAAGCACCATTGTAATCCTGACAAAATACCCTTTTCAACGGGGGCTCAAATGCCCTCAAAACACTGACACAAACCGAAACAATTAATCATATATTTGCGGGGAAAAAAACTTGAATATCTTCCAAACTCTTAACAATTTGCTCAATGAGAGTAAAATCAGCCTTGTATTCAAGTGCTTTCATGTTGAAAGTTTCGTTTGAATAAGGCGAGTTGAAATTTTTATTTTGAATATTTCGGGTCTTTATTCGCACGTGTGTGTAATCAAATTATTTCAATCTTCCCGTTCTCTCGTGCCCGCAAATACCACCTGCTACGCAGGCTAATTTTGTCTAAATTTGTTGTAAAATATTTCAGGAGTTCAGTTAGCTAAGATCCTGTTTTTTATCTACATTGCTCACAACTTTATGCATAGTCTTTCAAAACATGGTTTGGAAACTCCGCTGAAGTCTTTGTTCTATCTTTTTGTTCACGTTTATGCAGTTTTGTGCACGCAGAAACGCTCAAAGAAACTAAAACACTATGGTCACCGGTAATTTTGCAACATTATAATAAATCCGCTCATATTTCTGGGCTGCTTATGAATTTACTTTAGAATATTGCCCCTGGGTGCATGTTTAGTTAGTAACCATAGATTGTATATTGTTTATTTGGTAGAATATAGGTAATAATTGTTGTATTAGTGGTTAAGTAGGTGAAGCTGATCAGTAGTAAATTACTGCCCATGAAAACCAGCTGACAATGCAGAATGCCCGCTGCAGTGTTTCACACTGGGTGTTTATATCACTCTGAATATATATATAATAAGTATAATAGAAGCTATTTGTGTTATGCATAATTCAAACATAGTATTTGTCATGTCTTAAACGTTAACACACCATGGCACAGAATCCCAGATCGTTTCATTAACTCAGCGTTTCGGTAATTGTTCTGTGTTATTGAGGAAGGGTAGTGCTTCAGAGAATTCGTAAACGTTTGTCTGTTTTTTCATGAGCAATCTCGAAGAACGTATACTATTTAGGGTGTTCATGTTGTAGCCATACATGTATCCCATCATGTTTTGTGTTCCACCACACATTTGTCTTTGCGCAGAAAAGTAAGACTCAACGTAATCTTGACTAATGCGTTTTGAGGTATAGGCCATCACCGTATTTACTCGTAAAATCGTTCGTGTGTATGAATTTCACCAGCTCTTTTAATGCACTGACAATACCCTACAAAAAAACACAATTGTAGAATAGCATAATAATGGGTCTAATAACGCATTCATTTTGGCTGTTTGTACTAGGGGTTCAATAAAACTGTTTTATGACACCCTGGTTTGTACTGTGGCTATGGGCATACTGAGTAGTAAGCATGTGCGGTAAAATTAATATAAGGTTTCTAAGTGTAAAGAAGGATAACCAAGACCGAAGT